TAGCTGTACCAACAACCAAACCAATCGCGACTTGGTCATTCCTGTTCTCGGAGACCTTCAAACAGTTTGCTTGTTGCTGATTTGAAAGTGGCTCGCCATTGGCTCGCTTAGATATTTTTTTCTTTGTCCTGAGATCCTTTGTGAAAACTCAGGCGTCGGTTTTACGACATTCAATCACTGCCATTCCCAACTTTCACTTCCTATAAACCGCACACTTACCAATATGAGCAATGAACATATCTTCAAGGTCGGTGGATTCACGGCGTATTTTGCAATCAAAGTTCAGTCCGCCAGGTGCCAGTCCGCCTTGTTCAATTATGGCCTACAAAAGATTAGTAACCAGACCTTGATGTAGGTCTTGAGGGAAATAGGAACGAAATACTTGTGGTCTCAAATACGAGAGGTCTTAAATTATGGACAAGAGGCACGTGGCTACAGGTCATAGTGAGGCATTTACCGGCAGAACTTATCCAAATAAATTATCAACTCTGTACCCAACTTATCATTTAAATCTTGTGGTCGAATCAAAATCATGAAGGAAAAGCACTTTGTTTAAAACTTAAAGAGAACGATCCGCGATTTAAATCTTCCACTCTTTTCAACATATCAAATGAAAGAATGTTAACGTTTCCAAGACGTTTTGCGCGAACACGTTTGTGCTCATTTCCCCCACAGCACGAACGTCTGTCTTCATTAGTTTTCTTTAACCCCTAATAATGATAAGCATCTAAATTCTCGTTACAGTATCACACCGAAATCAGACATTGAGATCATGAGAATAAAGAAAATGATCGCGATCTCAAAAAGCTCTTGGTTGTGAGACAAATTCGCCGTGTGGGAACCATAGCAAACGTATAGATAACAGTATAGAAAATGTGCGTACTAATTTTAGAGGGCTAAGCGCTTTTAAAAACTTGGTTAGGGTTTCTCTCCAACATTATTCGCCCTCAAGTCAGAAAAAAAAATTGATGGGTCTACATTGCCTCGCGTCAAAAAGAAATAGAGCAAACCTTCATCACAAGAGTGCAGTTTTTTATGTCCATAGGGAACTGATCGGTGTCCCAACCGAGATCTGGCGACCCAGTGTTTGAATCAATGGATCCAAGAAAACCAAACCTGAACAAAGAAAACAATTAGCAGGGCAAGCAAGAGCACCTATGATGAAAACTCGAGGTACACCCGTACGATCCCTCCTTTAAATATCTAAAACACAGACAGCTAAAACTTACTTGGAGGACACTACAACATCATGTTCATAGCTGTGACCAGCTAAAGTGGTGTGGTTAGGTTCAATGTTCAGCTGAAGAATTAACGTTTAAACTTCAGTCAGTATGGAGTAACTAGCTGGGAAATTCAACAATATTTTTCTTATGAATACGAGATCCTCTGTGGTTTTTACTAAATGCCCCAGTGTTACTTACATCATGTCCCAATACAACAATTCCCTTTTGATCTTCTCTTCTCTAGTATAACAGATAGATACCGTTGGAAGAAGAGAATTTAAAGGAGACAGGTTACACTCCTTGACATAAACTGACCTTAAAATCATTCTCCAGTCCATACGTCTTTAGAAATGCAATCACTGTCTGAGCATCTATCCAGTGGAATAAGGATCAATAAAGCTTCCACAATGTTCTTCTTTCAAGTTTACAAGTAAAAACAAAACTATGCATGGCTGGTAATCACTTGTATAAAATGTGAAGTTGAATAAGTGGCAATTTCAGAAATGGATAGCAATTTTTCAATTATTTACGAATTACCCAGTAAAGAATGATAATTCACTGTGATCAGCTGGTTTTCAACAGTTAGGAGAGGCACAGATCTCCACCATTAACTTAAAGATGATTCATTATGATCTTCATTATAACACACACATGAGGATCAAAGAGGCCACCACATTGGACTTTACCCTCAAAACACTCAGAGGCACAATGAAATAGAAGAGCCAGAGGCATGGATGCCGACAAGGATACAAACAATCATAGGAAGCAGCAGGGCAAAACCGCGAGAGTAGACATTAGCCGGTAACAGTTGAAAACCAACCAATCAGAGTGGAGCATCACACTTTCACATGTCTTTGATATTACAAACGAGCAGTCTGTAGTTACTAGCTAATGCATGTTGTACATAAGGTATTTCCTTACCATAATCATACTGATGTTTGGTTGGCTCTTTAGGCTTGGGTTCAATAAGTAACTGGCCTTTAAATTCTATCTTCGTCTTGTAGTCTGAAAACATGGAAAATGCCAAAAACAGTTATTAACAATGGTCATAAACTAGTGCCTGAAAAAGGAAGGGAAAAATAGAAGTGGTAGTCATATGATAAAACACTTATTGACTGAAATACATCCATTCAGACAGGAAAAATATTTGGCTTTTGGTCACGACATTTGGATATCGGTGCATTACTGATACTTGTATCATAATGCCAATTTTCTTTTCCAATATTTCAAAGTATCATCTACTATTCATATTTACCAACAACCATCTGAAAGAAGGAACCCATGTGATCAAGCTCTCGTCTGACATCAGTGTTAAGTAACGTGTGATATCCCTCACGTCCACCCCAGAACACTGCGACAAAGTCATCATAATTAACATTCTATGAAGCATGATTACCGAATATTTTTAAGGTAAATCCTATCTCAGTCTCTGCTGCAGGAAGTGACAGAGAGTATTTCCTTTTCCTGGATGGAATGCAAGTTCATTACTGACTCTTCAATAAGTACCCCTGACAGTTTGCTGGGAACAATTTAGACTCCAAGATAGAGAAAGGCTCCGTGGGTGTGGTGTCTTTCAAAGCACAGGTTTCCACCCTGAACTCTCATACTACAGTACTAACCTCCATTTCACAAACAAAATAACTAGTAGTAGTTCAGTTCATTAAGATAGTAATTATCAATACCAGTCCCTTAACAAAAACCATTCAGACACAAAACTGTCTACCAGATATCTCTAAGAATTTTTCTTATCTTTCAACCAAGCAATTGATTCTAGACTTCCCTTTCTTCTTGGAAAAAGGCCTTGAAATCAGTTAAATTTCCTTTCCTTTGAAAAATTCCAAATCCTATACAGATTTCAGCATTTAGGACTTTTTACCCTTGTTGTGTTAAGGCTCCTACCAAAATTTTCTGCTCCAAGTTTCTTAGCAATCTCCAGTCCCTTCTTTACTTGCGCAGCAGCATGGGCCAATGCATGAGCATCAGGATTAGTGGCTGCTCCATTCATATACCTGTTGATAATGACCCAATTAACCAATTAAAGAAGTAGCCACAACTCATGAATTATGTTTCACTGGCTGAGGTAAACCCAGTGCTGTATCACTGCTGGGCCATATCTCCATTTTTGACCAGAGTACTTGTACTGCTACCGGATGGAATACTAGTTCATTTAAAGTTTCCACCACCTCTACAAGTTTTCTACATTTCCTGGACGGGTTAACTGAGGAGCTATAAGGGTGAAATGCCTTGTCCAAGAACAAAAGACAATGACCCCATCTGGACCTAAGCCCAGGGTTGCCACAACTCTATTTGTAACCTTTATGGCTCATTTAATAAAACAAACAAATGTGCCTTAAGCACGTTAAAGAAATGTTTTACACTGATTGGGAATACAACAACCCATACCAGGACTACAACAACCCATACCAGGACTACAACATACGTTAATGAAGCAACTTCAAAATCTAAAAGCACAAGGGAATAAGTCACGTGATATTACATAACAAAACAACCGGAAATGAAACAACAAAACGGAATTAAAATGCCGGGTAGCCACACTCGTAGTGTCAAAGTTTAAAAAGTGTAACACAGTAAAGTATCAAATACCTTGGGTTGGAGAAAAGATTACATGTTGCCCACAGCAGTTTAACTCCAGTCTTCTTTTGTAACTCAAGGGCAAGATCAGTGAGCTGGTCAAGGTTGGTATTTGTCTCTTTCAAGTCATCTCCTTCAGGGGCAATGTCCCTTGTCATACAATAATTAAAATTCTTACTGTCTATCATTCGACAAAACAAGGAAGAGTTATAAAAAAAAAATACCATTCAGACTGTCCCTGATTGATTCCTGACATTAAATCAGACAAAAACAAACCTTTTGGTAATATAACTTTTGAGGTATTCACTGTTCCATCATACCTGTCATGGAAAGTGTAATATTTTAAGCCAAGTTTCTCAAAAAACTCAAATGCTGCTCTCATTCTTCTCTTTGCATTTTCTACACTGTTGCTTCCATCATCCCAGTGTCTTGAAATTGTTGGGAAACCAAATGGGTCAGCACCTAGTCAAATAAACATTCATTTTCACTGAAGGACACCCTCCATAATGTATTCATTTACTATTCCAGAGGGAGATTTTCATGTTTTCCTTGAAACCCTTTTAACTTCCAAAAGTGATTAAAAAGTAATATCTCGTTTGTAATATCCATACCTCACCTGGGAAACATGTAATGAGAACACTCAAACTAGTCACAAAAAAGTTGTTATTTTGATCTGATACCAAATGATTGTAATGGATTTAAAGGAAATTGTAAAGGAAATGTGTTGCCAATTGGATCTTGGGATTTTAAGGTTTCATTAGATACAGGATGTTTCTCTTATAGGCTACAATTAACTAGCATCTTACTGGCAGTTGGGGGTTTGTTTATAAGGTTATCTTATCATTATGGATTATCATTTTTGTCTCCTGAGCAGCAAAAAAAACATAATACACACTTTTATTAAATCCCTCTCAACACCAATGGGCAAGATGAAGCAAATCCTGTGTTCTCATTGGCTACCTGAGCAGGGATTGCCTGCTTTGATCCCATCCTTAAAAGAATTGAATTAAAACTACATTCATAATTCTTGTACATTGTTGGTGATGGAAACATAAAAAGTGGTAGAAGATAGTCAAAACAAAGAAAACAGAAATGACTCTCATGAGTTTGTTGTGCTACAAACACAGTTGGCTTTCTTTCTTGACTCTAGAGGTAACAAGTCATTCTTAATTCTTAATAAAGCGAAATCTTTTTGCAATATAATAAATACTTTATCAACCAAGCTTTTTCGGTCAAGATGGCTGGATATTAGCCTTGTTCTTTTTTTTTTTTTCATAATTTTCATGGACCTTGACTTTGTCTTGGTCCATAAAACTGCAAAAAAAAGAACTCAGCCAATATCCAGCCATCTTAACCTAATGCTTGGTTAATAATACATATATATATATATATATATATATTTATATATTATTGTTATCCTCGTGCAATTATAAATCCATAGTTAATCCATATGTCAGCTGATAGCTAGACAATGGAAGGTCAAGATTAAAAAAAATAGTCAGCTGATATTAGGCAACTGTCCAAACATTTAGACATTGGCAGAGTCTTATGCAATACTGAAAATATTTGGGTACAGAGAACTAACCATTTATCTTGGAATGAGATCTAAAGTGTGCCATATACTTCAAAGTCCTACCTGTTCCTCTAAATGTATGCCAGAAACAGACCGAAAATCTGCACCAGTCTTCCATTGTTTTTCCCATAACTACCTGTTGATCATAGCCAATTCATGTCAATACCTCATTATATCAACAGTTGTCTGATGTAAAGACAGTGATAGAAAAAGGAGTAAAATTTAGCATGTCATGGAATAAAATTGAAGAAAAAATTTAAAACATATTTGAGAAATTGTGACAGTTAGTGATGTCACGCAAACTCAAGATGGTGAGTATGTACTGCCGAAAGATTTTTTTCTTTTAACAGGACACATTTCTGAATTGGGACTTATTTAAGCCATCTAAGAGAAATTAGATTTGAAAAATTTCAATTTCAAACTCTAAGAAAATTTGTGATTATGGTGTGGACTGATCAAGGGTCTAACTTCAAAATTTAAATTCAGTCCGAGATTCTCCTCGAAACATTTGACACTACCTCTTGAGCATTGTAGTGTTTGAAGCACAGATTATCTTCTGGACCTCCATCAGGCTTGTATTCAATTTTGTTTATTCCTGGAACAAAACAATGAAAGATTCCAAATTCAGATAAATAATGGTACAAAAACAGAGAAGTGTCATGCCCTACCACCCGAGTTTATCAAACATCGCAGTAACGTGTGTTTTTTTTTTTTTGCTACTTATGTATAAAACGCAAAAGAGAAGAGAATCCGGAAAAAGTTCCATATAACCCATACATTAATTATGTATGTGCATTATTGTTTCTCAAGACAATAACTTATTCCCAAGGGTTTAGCATATATACATTAGTAATAAGTACTTACTGCTTCAATAAAAGAGAAATTGATTGAGTGGCTTTTCCTTCTCTATGTTTGTCTCATTCTTCTCCCTTCTCCCCTTTATTCCAACTAATTTCTCCTTTTTTTTTTCTTTTTACCTTCTGAGCAGCCATGCTGAGCCTTGAACCATTGCTCTTTAGTCAACGCGTTATCACCAGACCATTACCAGCCTATTGCCTTAACCACTATGCTACACAAATTGGTTAGGAGATATCCTCCAAAAATTACTTTTGTTTTACCTTTCACTGAAAAAATTTTCATAACAATATGTGCATTGATATAATACCCAAAAGGTCCCCTTTGCACTAAAGAATGCAATTCTTCTTCTCTANAAGCCAAAACGCGCCGAATTTACCCAGTTTCAAAAAAGACTTAGAAAAAAATCCAAATTTTAAAAACAAAGACTACTAGTCTCTGCGGAGTTCTATTGTTATCGCTATTGTTTCCATTGAACAAAGACTGAATGCATAATTATTGTAAGGGGATCTATGGAACTCTTGCCGAGAATCCTGCATATACGACTGCTTCGTGCAAGAAAAAAGGGATTGTACAACTCTTCCAGACCTGTAAATAATGGGGACCTCCCCTACCGAAAACCGGAGGGTGATAATTTTTAAAAGCAAGTTTATTAATGCTGTGTCTAAATAAACAGTAGTCCTCTAACTTTACCTGGAAAAAAATCGCCATCGCTTTCAAATGCTGCTCAGTTATTGAGTGATCGTTTGGCCTTCTTGCTGGGCGGTGCAAACGACGACATCATCAGAAGAAATATAGAATGGAGGAACCTATTTCAATGGGATGGCTTCGCGGAAAATTACTTATCTTTGCGTGTGACGCTATGTATGGAAAGTGACAAGCTTCTTACTCACGCGGAACGAACTGGAACTGGATAACTGAGTCCACGAGGTTTCCATCAGCGGCTTTCGTTCAATGTTCAAAATGGAGGACGATTCCCCAGTTATTTATGGGCTAGAGTTGAACGTAAGTAGCTTCTTTATTCCTTTAATTGTTGAAGGGAATCATCTTTCAGAAATATACATCGAAATAACGGTGTGTTCAATCTTAATTGATCTCGGTTTTTTTTTTTCAGGGTAATATTCTATAATATTTCTCTCGTCACTGTGAATTTGCGATTCTTTAATTTTTTCCAATTATAAAGATCTTTCAAGCGATGAAGTAATTCTCATTTTTGTATTCAACTGGTAGAACATTATTTCTGATTGTGATTAAGAAGATGATGATGAAAATAGCAATAGGGATGCGATGAATAATGACGGGGAGAAAAGAAGCTCTCCTCACTGCAACTTCTGTACTAATTCATTTTTTTTCTGACTGTAGGCACGTGCTCTGGTTCCTCAGCATGCGGAAACAGATATGATAAGGTTCATTGTTGGAACTCAGTCCCTTAAATATGAAAATCAGGTGAATCCTTTCGTTATTTCTATAAATCTGTTTATTCAGACGAGTGAAGCAAGTTCAATTTGGTCCCAAATATGAAGGTTAGAATTTTTTAATTCCAGATCCACCTTATTGACTTTGATGATGAAAGCAATGTCATCAATAAAAATGTGTTTATGCATTCTTTTGGAGAAATATGGTGAGTAATTTGCATCAATGCAGGTTTATTTTGTATTTCCTACAAATTTTCAGCCTTATCATACAACTGTCTTCCTTAGTACTGTCCTATCTAGAATTAAAATTCTCAGAAAATAGTTTTGCCAGTGATCAAATATTCTTTCCCATTTTTTAATATGGCAGGTCAATGAACACTAGTCCAACAGATAAGACTCTCCTAGCAACTTGTTACAACAAAGGTAAGTTTTTTTTTAACTGAAGCAATGCAGCTACATTCACTGCAACAGTAATACAGTTCATCTACAGTACATTTCTTT